CCTGAACATCATGGAGGGGTCCAGTCCACAGGAGCAGGGTGACCTATTGACTAACTCAGAAAGATGCCATTCTTTTTTTTCAGGGCTCAACATTATTTATTGCAAACTAAGGAGGAAGGCACATAGTGGCAAGTTCTTGGAAGATCAAGAGCTATCTAATGCCTCTGGGGCGTAAATAACAAGGCAGCAGAGATCTCCTTTTGCGAACATAACCTTCTTTTGTCTATCAAACTACAGGACTTGTAAGAAGAACTGTCAGAACCTGCTGAAATGCCAGCTCAGCAAGGGCTCCTTATATTCTAGCAAATAAATCAGGAAATTGTTCCAAAATGCCCTTTTCTTGATTTTTCCAGTTGCTTTTCTGCTGCATAAAAAAATAAATGGAAAACTAAGAGGAGCTACAAATCCTCGGAAGGAACCAAGGCAAAAGCTAGGTGAGCTGGCATACTCCCCTTAAGTAAACATCACTTCAGGCAGTGCCACATACATGTCCAGTCACAGCATTAATGAATTCACCATGGATGCTTGGAGAGGGGAAGACAGCATGGGTAGCTTTCCTATGTGTGCTATCTGACAGGGTCAAATTATAATTGACCCCTATAATATAGAGCAAGTTATAATTTACCTTCGGACCTTCAGATCCGTGTGGCATTGATGGCTGTTGGTGGTCTTTCTTTAGAAACATAATCTCCACAGACCGTTGAGAGGTGCTCCATGTGCCTCATTGTCTTTTTTTCACTCTTGCAAACAATTTTAAATTGTTGTTGCCCTAATGTGAAAGGATTGGGGGTAATACAGGCCATAGAGAAAGACATCAATCCCTCAAGTTTGAGGTCAGATAGCATTCCCAAGTCAGGAAGGGTCCCCAAAAAGCATGCATGCACTGCTATGTCTGTCTGAATAACTAAGGATTTATGGAATGGAGGGATTTTACTATTTACCATTTACTATAAAACTATAAAGGAATTGCACCAGGCTGGTACCTGAAATATACTGATGTGACAGACTCTGCCATGGACAAGACATTTCGCTTCCAGTGTGATCGCTGGCTGGCTAAAGGTGAAGATGATGGGCAGCTCATAAGAGAACTGGCTTGTGCCAATAACAACATCCTGGAACTGAAGGAATGGACCGGTAAGTTCAGAGACAACTTGTGGCATTTCCTAAGGGATTGCTGAGGCCATAAGACCACATCTTCAAGGTGCTCTGCAGATGGTTCCCAAACAGACTTTGCGTTCACAGGATCTCAAGGCTGAATTACTGAAAGTACTGTTTCCTTCAGAAGTGCAGTACTATGGTAAGAAAGAAACAAATCAGGATTTATGAGGAAGAAAAATGTCTCATTCTAGGTTGAAATGTAAGAGGGGCCCATCTGTAGTGGTTCAATCCAGCAGTAAGCCATAAGGGTACATGGTTATGTTATCATTAGAAATAATGAGCTTAAATCTTTGAGGTGGAAATTAAGTTCAGTTCTTAAAGCTTTGCAAGTAACATTGCTCCAGCTTCCTCCTTAATATGCTCTGGGCTACAGACTCATGCGTCCCAGCTGAATATGACAGCTGAGTTTAACACTCCATAGCCCTGGTTCTGCACGGGATAATTCCACCGAGTCCAAGGTAATGACACTGGAGTCTAATGTGGTTAGGGAGAGAAAGAGAAGTATTATTTAACTGCACTGACAAGTAAGTTAAGCACATCTCAGCACTCCTGTAAAAGCAGTGCTCTGCTTCAAGAGTCTTGGAAAGTCAAGAATAACATTTCTTTAGGGTGATTTCACACTGCCCCTGCTAAAAGGCAACCTTGTGATTGCTATCTTGCTTCTCTTGGGGACTTACACACATACTTGGTACCACCATATCATGTGAGCATATCCTGATGGACATATAGGTGTCTTCACTACCCCTGTAAGGTTAAGCAACCTTAATGTTAGGAACAGTTGCACAAAAATCAGAAGGATTTGGGCCATCTTAAATAGGGAGATGTTAGCCAGCAGGGAGCTATACACAGCTTGTTCAAGAGCAGCTCCATCTGTTCACTGATCAAGCAGTACTCATATTCTTCATGTACTCTCTCCTAGGTAGGCAGAAGTCAGAAGTCTCACTTTTATTTTGTAAATGCTTTCTTGTATGCTGTGATAAATACTGGGAAGAGGGTTTTTAGCCAAAATGACAGTCAAATAAAGAGATCTTTCTGACTATCTGCTCTTCCTCTGCTGCTTAACATGTGTGTTAATTATGCTTTTAAAGCCTATGAGATTGTCACAGTGACAAGTGACAGAGAGGATGCAGAGACCAAGGAAAACATCTGGATCATCTTAGAAGGAAAGATGGGTTGCTTGAAAGAATTCCTTATGGAAAACTCCTCTAAGAAAAGGAGATTTGAAAGGTAATGGGAGTGGGCAATGGGCTAGAAGACCTCCTTGCCAGCTGTGCCTTTTCCACAAATGCCATCTCTTCACCAGGACAGTCTATTAGAGTTGCATTTGCACCATGCTGTTTCCTATCCCCTTTCCAAAAGGTCAAATGAGTGAAGGGAGTGAAAGGAGCATATAAAATTAGCTTCTGATAGGCAGGCATAGAGCAAGCTTAAATGTGGTGGGAAAAAGGGCATTTGGTAAAGGAAATGAAGATGATAAATGTGTGTGTATCCTTTTCTATTAGCACATACAAAAGGGCTCCTGGTGAGCCTAAGGGGAGACTGTGATTTTTTTGAGCTGGTAGGAGCAGAAGGAAGCTGGAGGTGGTTTTAGTTCCTTTTACAGCATCTTGCTGGCAGTAGGAGTCAGAGAACGAGTACAAATAGTTGGAGGCTAAATGTTGTCAGAGCTGCTCAGATTTGACTTTCCAGATGGATTGGGAAGGGGGTAGGGCTGAAAGATCAGTGTCGCGTGAGGAAAGCCAAATGCCAACCTTGTGCACAGATGAGCTGGTGGCACATCTGGGCAACGTGGGGGAGATTCCTCCTCCTATGTGGGGCCGAAGTGCTCCAGGTGTGAGGTGGGATTTTCACATTGCTCATGGAGACAGTGTGCCATTAGGAGAGAGGGATCTATCCAAAGCTGTGGACCCTGCTGATGTTTGGCTGCTTTGCAGGGAATAAATGTCTTTTTTAAGGCTCTGTAAAGGAAGGAAAAATATATAACTGACCTGGACTCTGGATGACTGAGATTTCATGTGAAATGTGACAGATTGGGAGGCACTTCCACCTGACACTCAACTGATGGAGAGTTAAATAGAGTTGGAGACACCATCCTCTGACGCATTAGTCACAGTCCCTCCTTGGAGGCAGGCTGGAGTAACGACCCAGGCCAAGGAGATAGGCCTAAAAGATATGTGTTTGACAAGAGACTTGTTGTTTAACTAAGCTATTTTCAAGCTGGGCTTCTAAAGCAAGAAGGGTGGCTGAACTAGCAAATTTTAAAACAGCTATGTTGGGTAGACGTATAACAGATACAGTATCTGTCAAGACTGAATGAATGAATGCTGGAGAGGAAATTAGTCATTCTTTAGCTTTATCTATAATGAGGCAAATTGATTTTGTATGTGGAACAGCTCAAGTTTATCCTGGAGAGTCCTAGTGGCAGTAATTTAAAGCGTCACCCCTAATCAGAGAAAATACTGAATTTAAATATGGAAATTATACTTTGTGTTGAATGATTGTGGGTTAAATCAAATGGTTTTAAATGGATGCTTATCCTCTTTCTTCTGCAACCATGTGCAAATTACTTAATGTCCATATGAGACGAGTCAGTGCCAGCTTTCAAGATATTAACTGAAACGGTTCCCTGTTTCCTGCAGGGCATCAAGAGACACATTTCAGTTTTCTTCAAAGAATGTTGGTGATGTTGCAGCCATCTGCGTTGGTCACTGTCCAAATGATGGAAAAAAAGTCATCAGCAAAAGCTGATGTGTACTGGCATGTCCAAGAGATTATCGTAAGAGATGGAGCTTGGCAACAAGAAAGTGTCTTCTTATCTGCAAGGCGCAACTCCGAGAGGGCATAGAGAAGATCTGCATGCATCTTCCTGCAAAATTTCATACTTACACAGTGCTGGAAAGTCTCACCAATTTCTTTCTGAAAGCTAAGGGCAAGTTGTTTGGTATCCGATGTATAGAGGCCTCATTTGGTTGTCCAATTTCTGAGTTGGTAGAGAAGGTTCTTGCACAGTTGAACAAAGCAAGTCCTTTTTTGGATGAGTTTTGCACCAACTACAAACTAACATCTCAGCTTGCAGAAAATATTGATATTGACTGGAATTTAAAGGGGATTGTAGGATGCTCTGCACAGACTGGCCTCTAGGTAACTTGTAAAAACCATTCTTAGAAAAAAAGGCCTAAACCTCCAATTCAGATCACTTTGGATAAGAGAGATGTCTAGGATGGTCTGAAAGGTCCACTGTAAAGGTTGTAGTTGGCTACCAAATTGCAAGTGTTCGCTTGCTCTGGCTAGAATATGACTGAAATCTTCTATACTCAAAGGATAAAATTGTCTGAACATCTCAGGAAATCTCTGACCCCTTTAGCTCCCACACCAGTGGTATGAGCCCTGGTGATGCCCATGGGCTAAGTTAGCACAGGGAATATACAGGAACCAGAGAGGAGCAGCCACTTGGAGAACAAACTCCCCTTCAGAGGAAATATCCATTCCATCAATGGATGTCTTGTCTTTTCCAAGATATTTCCATCGCTACTAAAGAATTTAACTCTAAGGGCTTTGTTCCAGCTGAGACAATTGAGTGTTCAAGAAGAAATCCTTGAAGTGATTTTTTTTTTTTAATGCTAAGAGTCTCTCCTAGCAAATTAATCAGCCAGCAGAAGAGCCACAATACTATTTGCTGAATGAAAACTCAGTCAATTATATATTCAAACACATTCTTTTTTCCTAGTGGGGAAAAATCTAGGACCTTTAATACCCAACTGTGCAATCAAATCCAGGCATCAAGCGCATTGGGAGCACGGCGATCTCTGCTGAGACAGTACATTTTACAAATGTACAAATTAAAAGAATTATGAGATTGGTCTAACAATAGTTCTCAATTATATATATATTTTTTCCTTTTGGTTCTAGGTCTGCTAGCATGCAAAAGGGACACATTTAGATGCTGGTTTTTTTTTGTAAATCAAATCGCAGGGCTAGAAAGGTCATCATTTTTCTTCCCCCCTCCCACTTTCCACAGACTGTCATGCTTCATCATAATACCAAAACACCGGATATTATGTCATCCAGAAAATAAACTGCATCGTCAGGCAATTTCCCTCCTTTCTATTTTCACATAGTTGTTTTCCTGGCCCTAAAATTATGCCCATACCAGAATTTCTCATTTACAAAACTGCTTTGCAGGACAAGGAGAGCTTTCTTCTGGCTGCAGAAAGCATGAAAGCACCATAAGGTTTTAAGAAAAGCAGTACTACTCAAATTGCAGTCACTCTTCCTTCAGGTGCTTATTTTACACATGTGCAATGGATCATCACTCCTCCCGGGAGGACCTGCTGCAGTTTGGTGAAGGGGGAGGAAGCAGGAGGGAAGAATTGTTTGGAAATGATCTGGATCATTGGAAATGAAATACATCGTGACAAGAACAGCGCTCCAACCCTGGCCGAGTGCCAGGTACGCAGTGATTTATGAAGGTGCTGTGTGCTCCCCGTGCATCACCGGAGGCAGCTCTGCAGCGCGGAGGGTTTTGGGCATCTGGTACCCATCACTTGAGGGCTTGATGCTTTTCTTGCCTGCTCGGGATGGGCTGACAAATCTAGAGGGGGATATATAAACCTCCAGTCCTCCATGGTGCCTTTTTGACCCTTCTCCCTAACTCTTGGCTCATCCTGTCCTATGCTGCTGGTGAGGATCGTTGCATGTCTCTCCTCCAAGTGCAGTTGCATAAGTGAAACCCTGCTCCAAAATCAGTTTAAATACAGTCAGGTATTCTTCTGTACATGGCCATGCCATTTCATAGGCAAAAGAGGTGATGGCTGCCAAAATTCAACTCTGAGCACATGCAGGGTGTCAGTGTCCGCCTGGGGATATATTGGATTTTCCAGCAGTTGCAGCAGTCAATCAAGACTGTCTTCAGAAACAGAAGCTCTAGTGTTATTACCAAAATGGCATCGCTGTTGTGTGGTCGACCAGCTCACCTGTCCCAACATGTGTGAGAGGGAGCCCTTCCATGCCCTTAACCCGCTGTGAACTTTCCCTCGGCAAGTACTTCTTCAGGTGCAACATGAAAATCCCTCTGCAGTACAAGAGATGGGACTACAAAGTCTTCGAGTGTGCCAAGGTCACCGAGAGCTTCGCCAGCAAAGCCCAGAGCTTGGTGCCTGTCCGAGACCATTGTGGTGACGGGCTTCAAGAAGGGAGCCAGTACCGATGCCAACGTGTTCATCACCATCTTCGGGCTCAACGGCGACTCAGGAAAGCGGGTGCTGAAGCACAAGTTCAGGAACCTCTTCAAATGGGGCAAAACCAACCGCTTCTACCTGAAGACATTGGACATGGGGGAGCTGAAGAAGGTCCAGATTGAGCATGACAACAGCGGGCTGGCACCCGGTTGGCTGGTGGAGCAGGTGATCACAAACTCGGCTACCGGTGTCACCACCATATTTCCCTGTGGGAAGTGGCTGGATGAGAACCGAGGGGGATGGTTTGATCTGGAGAGAGCTCTTCCCTAGATACTGAGTGGAAGAGTTTTTAGACCCTTCTCCATGGGTGTTTTCCACATTATATAGTTTTATAGAACATTTTACTTTTTAAAACATTGCTTTTTATACTGGAGGGTTTTTTAGTAGTAAGATGTGGCTCCTGGGTCAACATTTTGTAAAAGTAATACTTCGTTTTTTTTTTTTTTTAACTGCCCATAAAATTGTGAATGAAATACATTCCTTTCTTATTTATGATTAGAAGCCACAACAGCAGATCCATAAACTATCTATCTCAGCAGTCTTTAGGCGCAATCTGCCTCCTGTTTTCACCACCCTGCACTGCCAAGGCTGGAAGTGGCCTCCACTATTGATCGACTCCCCTTTCAGATGAAGAAAAAGATTCAGAAAATAGAGAAAAATAGAAAAGGGGGGGGGCAGGGGAAAGAAAAATAGAAAGGAAGAATAGAAAGAAAATAGAGCTGATGCGGTAACGTGTTGAAAGCAGCAGGACTTTCTGCAAGGATGTTTGGGAAAGGGTCTTGGGTGATGGAACTTAAGACGGTCTTTTCCCTCCGTGAGAAAACCTGGCTCATGGATGAGGGCAGAATTGGGACAGCTGTAGTGCAGAGGCACCATGAGCTGAGAGCAGCTGGTGCAATTCCTAGGAATATGTTACCAAAGAACCTAAGAGCTAATCAATTTCCCATTCAAGGAAGCTGTCTGGCTATACTCTAAGCTGCCTTAGGATACTTTTACCCTATATAGCCTGAATACCAACCCTTTTTTTCAGAGCATCTGCCATTCATTTTATTTATTCATTTTGTGAAATATCTCTATTTGATTTTTCACAGTGGGAGGGATTTCTCAGTTGCAACAAGACCCAGTGCCCCCATAGGCATGCTCTTCCCAGGTGCTTGCCTCTCTCCACATGTAACAGCAGGAACAGCTCTTTAAACATCATTAAAACATCATTGATCCTGGAGTCCCATCTCCAGAGAGCTGCTCTAGGCTTTGCTCACCAGCTGGAAAATTCTCACTGCTTCCAGTGGGACGGGCCTCCAGGGGAGGCTGGGTTGAGTGAGGAGGAGGAGGCTGCGCTAATGAGATGGCACTGGATCCTGCAGGATAATGAGGCAGTTTTTAAACAAGCACTTTATGTGAAAAGGGGTTAAATGCACCGAGCCCACCAGCTCATCCCACCATCCCATTCAGCATCCCTCTGGTGTAGGCATCAAGTTGGGGATGCTGCTGTGCTGGTCCTGCTGCCCAGTACCTACCTAGTCATGGGAAAAGGTCATGGTCTTGAAGTGCAGATTGCTTAAATGAACCAACCTCAAGAATGATTAAAAAAAAAAAACACCATAACAGTTCCTTTGGTATCTGTGTTGGCCCTTTGCTGCATCCTCACCTCAGGCTGCTGCTGCTGAGCATGGAGCAGGGCCTGAGCCGGGCCTGGCAGGAGGACTGCAGACACTGGTGTTAGCACACATTATTGGGACCACACTGGGCTGGTTGCATGGTCTCCAGCAGTGATTCTCCAATGAGCGTTTTCAAATAAGAAGGTCAAGCTTTGGAGCTCCCCGCCATTTCTCCCATCCCAAGCAACCAGGGCTTTGAAAAACCTTCCTGTCAAGGGACTTGTCAGATTTTAGCAAAAAGCTTGTGCCGCAGAGAAATAGGAGTTCCGTAGTCCTAACTTTTCCAGTTGGCTCCACTGAGTGCCCACCTGGTGCCGAGCACAATGCTTATAGCACAATGCAGCACACTGCAACACTTTAACTCTTAAACCCATCACTGCCCTGCAAAATAAGTAGCATCATGAGGCTAGAGACAACAGGACAGAAAGAGTCATGTGCATGTTGTGCCCCTGCTAAGGCTGCTTGCGAGCAGTATTGAACTTTTGGGAAGCAATGCTTTCCCAAAAAAAGGCCAGAGGGGATTTTGCTAATAGGGAGTCAGCAAAGCTAATGTCTCCCAGGAAGAGGACCTTGGCAAGGCATGAAAAAACATGCTTTTTTTTTTTTTCTCCTAAAGACTTTTAAAATGCTCCCTGCTTTTGCAAAGCATAACTCTACCTTGGCTCTGGGGAGCCCTTCTGTTGCTACAACTAATGCCACGAAAGCAATAAGGCCAAATGGAATTTTTCCAAAGGCTGCATTTTCATTAAGCTGCTAAAAGCAACACAGTCTTGGCCAAGCAGAGAACTCGTGAAAAAAGGAGTCAAAGTTGTCCTTGCGTTGTGTCTTTTGCAGGGCTCAGGCAGCTCCTACCCACAGGGTACAGCGCCCCAAAGCTGCATGCTGGGCAAAGGCCCCAATCCTACAGCTTTTTCTCAACTATATTTCTTCATGGGTATGGTCTTAACACATGCGTCTTTAGTTAAAAATTGTAAGTGGGGATGACAGGCAAGAGTAAAGGTGGTAGCACCATGGGGATGTGGCTTTGGGTGCTGTTGATGAAGGTGCTTTGGTGCTGTTGGTGAAAACAAGTGTAGCCAAGGAATCCGTTGCAATGTGGTGGAGATGGAATAACCCAAGGCCGAGAAGAATCCAGGCTGTGATCTCCCCCACCCCATCCTTATGCATAGAGGTCCGTTTTAACGTGCAGAAGATGCCCCATGGAAACCAAGAGCAAATTCGATACTTAGCGCTGGACTGTGCAGCTGCAAACTGGAGCCTGGGGCCACCTGGGCACCACAAGACATGATTTGGGGTTGACCTTCCCAGTCCCAGGAGGCTGCTGCAAGGAAGACAGACAGTGCCTTTTGGCCCTTGCCAGATCATCATCTTTAGCCTGTTTTCTAATGGGGGGAGGGCAGTTAAATTTTCCTCTAACAAGAGCTTCATATTGCCTGAAAGTGATGCATCCCTGGCCCCTGGAGGAGCCAGCAATCCCCACCTGCACCACCCCAATGCCCTATGACAGCAGCTGCGCCTCTGCAAGGTGCGTTTAGCCTAGCTACATAGCCCAAGCCAGGCACTAGCCACATGGACCTTTAAACAGGGCTGCAGAGGATGCAGGGTTGGGTTTTGCAGTAAATTTCCCTTGTCTTAGTTATTAAAAGAGAGAAACACAGTACAGAGGTACATGGTTCTCCATGGGGAAGATGGCAGAACCATGAGGATCTGTGCAGGATGCAGGACCCTCTAGGATATCCTTGAGGCAATGTGGGCTGCAGATAGAGGATGAATCTGTCTTTAACAGGCAATTTCCAGGCAGGATCTAGAAAGTAATTTTGGTGCCACATTACCAAAATGAGGCATTAACTAGGATGCATCTGGAGTTCACGAGAACCTCAGCTCGAGCCAGTAACGTCCCAAAGTTATTTAAAGGCTTAACCTCCACAGTGCCACAAGCACCCAGGTGGCAGCAGCCCCAGGGTATCCACATGTCCCCACCATATGCCCAAATCAGCTAAGGGAAAGTATTTTTTTCCAAGTTCAAACATATAAACCATGAAAGGGAGATTTAATTGCTCTCAAAGAAACAAGAATTTGGTCACAAATCACTGCTTTTCACTGGGTGATGCACAAGGAGAAATGTGTCCTTGAGCATTGACGTGCTGCTCCCATTCGGGAGGAGGCAGAAACGCTTCAAAAATGAAGTATATCATCCTAAAAAGACTTTTTGCCAGAAAGGTTCTAGGCTTGGACATTGGTGGAGTTAAAGCACAGCTAATGCCTCACAGGGTTTCACCAAACCTCCACTGGAGACAGAAAGATGAGAAACAACAGGGAGTACAAGGGAGATGAAGAGAAAGCAAGTGCCCAACCAAATCACTTCTGTGCAGCACTGGTGTATAGTTAGCAATGCAATTCATTTTATTAGTTATAAATAAAGTACAAAAAATCCACCAAAAGTGAATCTAAGCATTTACACAATTTCTAATGTCTTTTTTTCTTCATCAATTTCTTCAATACACTATTGCTTTAATATTAATAATAAATATTTTTCTAGCTTTCTTCTATAAAATAGTCTATGTAGCAAAATGTCACACAGCACAACAGAACAGCAGTAGGAGTACAAAAAATGTGGGTGATCCTTCCATGAGCCCCTGTCCTCAAAGGCGAGGATTTTTCTTGCTCGCTCCTTGCTTTGCATAGCCCTTTCGCGGTGTCTTTGCTAGGTGGGGGGGAAAATGACCAACGCGGGTCCATGGTCCAGGTTATAGGGAGGAGCATTAAAAAGCAGCAAGGGGGAGGAGAAAAAAAAAATTAAAGAGGGGTTTTAACCATGGGGTGAGACAAGGTGGACAAAGCGGAGCAGCACCCTGAAGGGGCAAAGAGGAAAACAAAAATTAAGGTACAAGCACATTGGTGCCCTCCGACCCCCCAAACAAAACTTGCATCCAAGCCCACGTGGGGTGGGTTAAGACATGCATCCCACCCTATCTGGCTATGTTGATTGAGTAGGCAGCTATGGCTTAAAGGTTAAAATATTCCGGGGGTTGCTGCCCCTCTCCGACACGGCTCCCGCACATGTTGTTATATGGGAGCCTTTTGGGGCCACCACTGATGGGGACCTCCAGTATGGCCAGCCTGAGCCCCTGGAGCACCATTCCTTGCCCTCAGCCCAG